CAAAAACTAGGTAAAGGAAACAATAACCCATGAAATTAACCTGTAATTTCCCTATTTTGGAGATAATTAACCATAGTAGATAAAAAAAACCTAACAATTTATTTTCTTTTCATTCATATGGTGTTTACTACCAGCCCTAAAATACATTAGTATCTGTTTTATAAAAATATCTTGAAAAAAAATACTTTCAAAGGCCTGTAATCGTTCATGGCTCATCTGGCGTCAACAGGAATTGACTTCTGCAGTTGTCCATGACCTTCCATTGGAGTTTCGACGTGCTCAATCTTAACAAACATATCCATTACTCTCAAATAGACATTATTTTAAATAAAATAATCCAACGAAAATGAAAAATTCACCTAAAAGTGAGATTTGAACCACCAACCGCATGACTTCCCCCGACCCACCCTCTCACCGAGTTGCTTGTCCCAGGGCCCCAAGGTCCATGTCGTGGGCCCTGTTCAGGGGGTTTGCCTAGGGCCTCTCTTATTCTAAATCCGGTCCTGAAGGTGCAGCTGACGGTGCCCGAGAGCTGTAGCTACCATACTACACTGTTCAATGTCACCCACTTCGACGCAATTAGGCTTCGTTGCCGTTAATATTTAAGCTTCCACATTTCTGTATTGTAGAAATCAGTGGATGTGTCCCAAAATGAATAGTGGAAACATGCTCTGTAATTAAAGATTTTGTAGCCATTTTCGGTAACTTGTTTGAAAATGAAATCTTAAAGAGACAATACAACAAATATATTAAAGGGACAATACGACAATACCAAATATACAATAAATACAAATACACACTTATATAGAGAACAACATGGTACAAATAATGGCTATGGATATGATGAAAACGTATAAAAGTCAAAAATTTTATTTCTCTAATTAAATTTGCAAAAAAATGTATCACAAAGGCTTATTTTTAGCACTTTTCAATAAGCTGTATATTTTAAGTATGTTGCATTCCGGTCATTTTTTTACAACATATGGATACTATGTGCTTAGCACTTCAAAACCATCCAAAGAAATTCTACTTGCGACCATGAAAGAAAAAGTTACAGTGTATCTTTTTCTGCACTATAAGGACAATGTGAATATGGTACCCCAAAACAAGTCCACACAAAATTAGTATGTACTGATTTTTTTTTTTTCAAATTAGTGCTGGGGTAGAAGTTGACCACCCGCTTCATCAGACAGGGTCAAAATTAGAAGATTGCTATTCCACCATAGAATGCAGTCTGTGCTTAAAAAAGGTGATAAATACACATGTGAAAACCGCAATTTTACACATAAAATGAATAATTCCTGTACAGTCCTTTAGAGCGACATCAGACTGTAACCACTTCAGCATGTAACCTCTTGCCCCTAGGGGGTGTCATACCATAAGTTTGATCAAAAACTTCTGACCCCCCATCTTAGCACTTTTTGCGATTTTTGCATGGTCTTCTCGCGGATACACCCTTAATTAAAGCAGTTTAAAAAACAATTGAAAAATATTTAATCTGGTGTTGATTATTGAACCCATTCTGCTCAGTGAATTGTGATTTGTGATTATTGACCATAATTGATTGGTGGTTGTTAAAAACAATTGAATATACTAAAAATTCCAAAATGCGACACACTGTATTATTCATATTATAATAAACCTTAATTCAATTTAACTCATTGTAAGGTGGAACTCATGCCTTCTGATATGGTTGGGTTATTTGAGCCTAAGTTTTGAAAAGGTGCCTACATGTGAAGATGGGTGTACGCGTTTCTTTGATCTGTTATATCATGGACCATATATACAGTTATATCCTGGGGTAATTCTGTGTGTGGACCACTAATTGAGCAGGCCGTGTTGTATTATCAATACGGTAATTTCTATTTTATAGATTTGCATCGTGGCGGGTTTTTTTTTTTCTTAATATTTTAACAGACTGTGGTATATTTTAAATGTTTCATATTCATGTAATTATCAATGTTATTAAATCATCGTGGCTAATTTTCGTTCAACAGCCATTTTTATACGCCCACATGAGACGAAGAAGCCTATTATAATTACTGCAAGAGTTATAGCCCTTGATCACTTTAAAAAATCTTGTGGACTCTGTAGAGGCCAAAGTTAATATCTGATTTACTTTAAATTTATACACAGTGTTAAATTTCATGAGACGAAGAAGCCTATTGATTTTCAGTGATTTCAGATAATTACTGCCAGAGTTATGGCCCTTGATCACTTTGAAAAATCTTGTGGACGCTCTAGAGGCTAAAGTTAATATCCTATTGACTTTAAATTTATACACAGTGTTTGAGGCCATGAGATGAAGAATCATATTGATTTTCAACGATTTCGGATAATTGCTGCCAGAATTATGGCCTTTGATCACTTTGAAAAATCTTGTGGATGCTCTAGAGGCTAAAGTTATCATTCGATTGACTTCAGATTGATACACAAGGTCTTGAGACGAACAAGTATATTGATTTTCAATGAATCTTTATGACTTGAACAGCTAAATCCATGATGTTAAAAGTTTTGTATACTAAACGTTAGCATGGGGCAGAACTTTATAAAAACCAACAAATTCTAATGGTTTTCTGATAATTACTTAATGAGTTGTTACTCTTAATTGGATTTTAATGTATTATAAATGTTTCATTAACGAAAAAAGTAAAAATATGCAACAACTGTTGTTGTCTGCCTGGACGATATAGCTGCTGTGGGCGTATGTTTCGTTGCCTGGCAACCTATCTTTAAATTGTTTTTATGTCTGAAATAAAGTTTGGCAAAGTTATGTGTTACAACATATAAGCATGAAATGCATTTAGTATGTTTTATTTGATTTTCAGCGAAAAAGGGCAGTGCTATAATATTAAAAAGAAATAAAGAGATCTGTGTTTATTGCCCCAGATAATCGCACTACCCTTCAACCCAAAATGCTTTCTATAGATCCCATATCATGTAATATATGATTGGTACAATACCCATACTGTTAGTCTTAATTGCAAAGACATTTAAACAAAAGGATTTAATCAGGGCATGGAGTTGACATGTACACACATAAATCAGATGCGTGAGATTTATCAATCGTGGATGTATTGTAAGTGTGGGAAATACTGTTTTAAATGGATATATAGATACATGTTTTATGAAATTGGACGAAACGTTATGTGCATCTCAAGAAAGCTTTGCTTCAGAACGGTCCTGTCGCCATTAAAAATCCAACATCTGTTTCACTGTAGTGACAGGCATACAGATACCTGCCGTCGTATGAATCCTGAAAAATATTTCACCGTATCGCAACAGGTCAGTACTAAAACTAACTCTTATTACAGTATTTAAATACCATTCAGCGAATCTAATATCGTGCGGTAAAATACATCGTAATATCTGAACATCGCACGTGAAATTGGATGTTTGACAACAAAATTGAACTCCTTGCGTAATTGGACACCTTGACTAATTTTAATCACGGCTCGGAAAATTGAAGGTCCAACTAATTATTGAACAGTCGTGATAATTAAGCGGGACGCTTATAATGAAACATGTGTTGACAAACTAAACACTAGTTAATTAGACGCTTGGTAATCAAAATTAAACACTGAGATTTAAATTGGATACAAGTACAAATTGAACACTAGTAGCCGAAATTCAGCTATAGTTATGAATATTTAGACACAAGAAATTTACGCAAGATTAAACGATACCAATGTTACAGTGCAAGGTTGTGGACTCTCTAGAGGTCACAATTTTGATCCTATTTTGATGAACTTGAAATACATGTTTATAACCCAAAGATCTTGGTTCCTTTTGATATTCGCGCATATCGGATCGTAACTTCCTGAATTATGACCCTTGATTGTACGAAAAATCACATTTTTAGCTTGTTGTCCCTCTAGAGGTCACAATTTTTAACCGATTTAAAAAAATGTTTGAATATTATCAACGTTACACCCTAATGATGGTTGAGTTCGAATTTCGTCGAAATCGGACTAAAACTGCCAGACAAAATGGCCACAAATATTGTAAATATATGGTATATCAAGGTTGTGAACCCTCTAGAAGCCACAATTTTGATCTGATTTTGATGAAATTTTAAATTTATGTTTATATCACAAAGATCTTGGTTCCTTTCGATAATCGTACGCAAATATTGTAAATATGTGGTATATCAAGGTTGTGGACCCTCTAGAGGCCACAATTTTCATCCGATTTTGATGGAAATTTAAATTTTTGTTTATATCACAAAGATCTTGGTTTCCTTTCGATAATCGCACATGTCCGAACATAACTTCCTGGATTATGGTCCCCAATTGTTCAATAAATCACATTTTTAGCTTGTGGATCCACTAGAAGTCAGAATTTGTATTCAATTTTAAAACGTTTAAATATATCATTGTTACACATCAATAAAAGTTGAGTTAAAATTTCATAAAAATCTGATCCAAACTGACGGACAAAATGGCTGCTCCTTGTACACATATAGTGTAAAAGTATTTAATGACAAGGTTGTGGATCCTCTAGAAGTCACAACTTTTATCCGATTTTGATGAAACTTGAAATGTATGATTATGGTCTAAAGATCTTGATTCCTGTCAATATTTGTGCATATCGGACCGTCACTTCCTGAATTATGACCCCTGATTGTACGGAAAATTACGTTTTTAGCTTGTGGACCCTCAAGAAGTTAGAAGTCACAATTTTTATCAGATTTTGATGAAACTTCTCAGTCCATTTCGAAATTCGTGCATTTAAGACCATAACTTCCTGTATTATGGCCCCTGATTGTACGGAAAATCGCTTTTTTTTTAAATTTGTTCTCTATCCATCTCTGACAAAATGTGTCCGTATTTTGCCTGGCAGCCGCTGATTTATTCAAGTTTTTAAATAATGTAAAACGGTTTCACTGCAAGAAAGGTTTGGGAACCACTGGTCTGCATGAACAAACATGAATCATATTACAGGTTTCACTGTAATTTTACTTACTGGTACATTTTTTTGTGTTGTTTTTTTTCTCTTAGAGTTCTTCAGTGAATGTAAGTTTTAATGACAATGCTATTATATCTCCTATATTCATAGTGGTTGTAAAAATTACAATTATAATATTAATAAGTTATAACTGAATTATAACTTGATTACTAATATGATATGATAAACATATTTTAAACTAGCCCATGATAGTACTATAATTTATATTGCATTAATATTTAAAGCTTATATCTCTATTTTTTTGTATTGGCATATAGGAAATACCATAATAGAAATTCATTTGTTGCTCCTGTATCATAATTAATTTTATTGTGTACATTAATTAGATTAAAATGTGCAATCAGTATACATATAATAATCAATGTTCATTTATAGTATTTACTAATTATTGATTATTTACAAAAGTTAATATCACATGTGATATAGATCTGCTAGTAGTAACTAAATATAGAAATTATCATATAGTTCACCCTGGTTGCTTGGTTGCTTTCAATATTGGCATGTATCGGACCGAAACTTCATTGATTGCGGCCCCTGATTGTACGAAAAATCACGTTTTTAGCTTGTGGACCCTATAGAGGTTATAATTTTGTTGAAACTTGAAATGTAAGTTTATAACCCAAGGATCGCGATTCCTTTCAATATTCGCACATATCGGATTGTAACTTCCTGAATTGTGGCCCCTGATTGTACGAAAAATCACGTTTTTAGCTTGTGGACCCTATAGAGGTCATAATTTTTATCCGATTTAAAAAAACATTTTAGTTTTTCACCGTTACACCCTAAGGATTGTTGAGTTTGAATTTCGTGAAAATCAGCCCAAAACTGACAGACAAAATGGCCGTCCCTCGTTCTCAAATAGCGTAAAAATATGGTATATCAAGGTTGGGGATCCTCTAGAGGTCACAACTTTCTTCTGATTTTGTTGAAACTTGAAATGTAAGTTTATAACCCAAAGATCTCGGTTCCTTACAATATTCGTGCATATCGGACCGTAACTTCCTGAATTATGGCCCCTGATTGTACGAAAAATCGCGTTTTTAACTTGTGGACCCTATAGTGGTCATAATTTTTATGTGATTTAAAAAAAACGTTTGAATATATCACCGTTACACCCTAAGGATGGTTGAGTTTGAATTTCGTAAAAATCGGACCAAAACTGACAGACAAAATGGCCGCCCCTCGTACTTAGATAGCGTAAAAATATGGTATATTAATGTTGTGGACCCTCTAGAGGTCACAATTTTCTTCTGATTTTGATGAAACTTGAAATGTAAGTTTATAACTCAAAGATCTTGGTTCCTTTCGATATTCGCGCATATCGGATAGTAACTTCCTGATTTATGCCCCCTGATTGTACGAAAAATCACAATTTTAGCTTGAGGTCCCTCTAGATGTCACAATTATTATCCAATTTATTAAAACTTTCAAATATATCACTGTTACAACGTAATTTTGGTTGAGTTCAAATTTCGTGAAAATCGGACCAAAACTGCCGGACAAAACAACGCCCCTGGTACACAGTTAGTGTAAACATCTGGTATATATGTAAGTTTATAACCCAAAGATCTCGGTTCCTTACAATATTCGTGCATATCGGACCGTAACTTCCTGAATTATGGCCCCTGATTGTACGAAAAATCGCGTTTTTAACTTGTGGACCCTATAGTGGTCATAATTTTTATGTGATTTAAAAAAAACGTTTGAATATATCACCGTTACACCCTAAGGATGGTTGAGTTTGAATTTCGTAAAAATCGGACCAAAACTGACAGACAAAATGGCCGCCCCTCGTACTTAGATAGCGTAAAAATATGGTATATTAATGTTGTGGACCCTCTAGAGGTCACAATTTTAATCTGATTTTGGTGAAACTTGAAATGCATGTTTATAACCCAAAGATCTTGGATCCTTTCGAAATTCGGGCATATCGGATAGTAACTTCTTGAATTATGGCCCCTGATTGTATGAAAAATCATGTTTTTAGCTTGATGTTCCTCTAGAGGTCACAATTATTGTCCGATTTAAAAAAAATGTTCAAATATATCACTGTTACACCGTAATGTTTTTTGAGTTCTAATATTGTGAAAATTATCCGATTTTGATGAGACTTGAAATACCTGTTTATAACCCAAAGATCTTGGTTCCTTTCGATGTAGGCACGTATCGGATCGTAACTTCCTGAATTATGGCCCTTGAATGTACAAAAATTCACGTTTTTAGCTTGCCGGTCACAATTTTTATCCGATTTAAAAAAAACATGTGAATATATCATCATTACACACAAACTAAGATCTTGGTTCCTTTTGATAATCGCGTATATCCGAAGGTAACTTCCTGGATTATGGCTCCTGATTGTTCGAATAATCGCATTTTTAGCTTGTGGATTCTCTAGAGGTCACAATTTTTTTTCCCGATTTTAAAAACCTTTTAAATATTTCACCCTTCCACCATCATGAAGGTTCAATTCGATTTTCGGGAAAGCGAAATGAAACTGCCCGACAAAATGGCCACTCTTTGTACGCAAATTGTGTAAAAGTATGAAATACGAAGGATGTGGACCTTCTAGAGGTCACAATTTTTATCCGATTCTGATGAAACTTCAAATATATCTTTATATCCCAAAGATCTCAGTCCCTTTTGATATTTGTGCATTTCAGACCATAACTTTCTGGATTATTGCCCCTGATTGTACAAAAACTTGTTTTTGTTTTTAGCTTGTTCTCTATCCATCTCTTACAAAATGTGGACGTATCCTGCCTGGCAGCCGCTTGTTTAAAAAAAAAAATGAACAAAATGATGAAAATGTTTGTCGTCAAATATTATGACTAGTTCAAGGAAAACTAAATAAGTAGACAACAATGGTCCAAACTATGATTATGACATGAGGATTAACTTAGTTTTAAGCTCTATATGATTAAAATTTTGTTAGGAAAAATAATGTGGGAGTCAGCTTGTTTATGAATTTTAGTTTCATTTTTTTTTTTTTTATACTGTGGAACACAAAATCTGTTAGATCTCAAATCAGAATTTATCTATAAATGTAAACTTTTCAACAAAGTCAGATTGTCAACAAATTTATTTTTGACTCAAATCAAATAGTTCTAGCCAATTTATTGTTGCGGGAAACGCCTTGTGTAATTAAACTAGTTTAAAATGTTTTTTAACATTATTCAAGAGCTAAATCTTCTTATTGCAGGTCTTTCTTTAGGTCTTAAATGTTATATAAATTTTAGACATTTATTAACATGACAAGACAATAATCAACTCTCTAGGGCATCAAATGGCTCTGATTTTAAGTAGATTAGAATAGTTTGGCCATTTAATGATTTAATTTATAAATGGAGAAGCAAGATTAAGCCACGAATATATAACAGTACAGTGGTTACAATAATAAACAATCAATGCACACATCATGTCAAAACTACAAAAAGTGATAACTTGAATCAGAATAAAGTCATTTGAGTCAAATTTTCAATACTGTATATTCATTTTGCATTATCTTATTTTTAACTATTATAGCAAGAACGGCCATCTCTTTATCTAAATCTTACATAAAGTATCTTTAAATTTTTATGTGGCAAAATTAATAAGTCATATTGCTTGTGGATGCCCAAAAGGATTAAGTTATTATCTGATTATCTTGGGATATTTACACAATATCTGTGTTCATGAGACGGAGAAGCCTATTATTTTTGGACAGATTCCATATAGCTAAAGTTTTCGTCTGATTACCACTACCAGTACATGTATTGTGTAGTAAATGTTTGCACTAGGAAGAACTAAAGCCAGTCAAATTTTAATTATTTCTGATAATTACTTCATGAGTCGCTACTCTTGATTAGTTTAAGTGTCTTGTGAATGTTCCTGTTACTTACAAAAGAATAGAAATGTTACAACCTTTATGTACTGCTCAAATGACTTAGTTGTTGTGGATGTATGTTTCTTTGCGTGACAATCTATCTTACTTAAAATGGTCAATTGTACATATACTTATTTAGTATTAGTGTGATTGCTTTACATCTGGTTTGTTAACTGTGATATTGTCATTGATTAATATAAATGGCAATTTGACACAAACTATGTTTCTAAATGCCATTACTTTTAATACAGCTTTTTGGTAAGCCTCTAGGTAGAATTATTTCACCAATACCAAACAAGAAAAAGCAGAAATATAAAAACAAGGCAGTAAAATTGACACCGTAGATATAAAAACTTGTTTTTGGTTTGGTTGATTTCATTGTTTCAGTGTTTTATATTGATAACTTTAAAGAATGGGTTATGCATGGTATTAAAGCATGTATTAAATTAATTGAATTCAGTTGGCTGATGCGTTCAAAGAAGAACAGGAATTATATATGTATGTCAAGTTAAAATTTTGTTAAAAGCAAAAGCATGTACAAATTTTTATACGCCCACACTGAAATGTTGTCATCCCTGTCCGTCTGTATCTGTCAACAACTGACTTGTTAACGTGATAGAGGCTACAGTTCTTGATGGATTTTGTTCCAATTTGATGTGAAGCATTGGGGTCTAGAGAGGATGAACCCTATCGATATTCAGTATTCTGTGACCTTCCATTCTGGAGTTATCGCCCATTTTCCGAAAACCTTGTTAACACAATAGAGGCTACAGTTTAAAACAGATTTGATAGATATCAGATTTTCTTGAAGGCATAAATGATCCAAGTTTTCCTTTCAGATAAGCTGCTGTCTATAGCAAACTTTATTTTCAGACATAGCTGTATGTGGTTGCATATGTTTCACATTGTAGATTACACATAAACAGATTGTGATTACACATATAAAAACATAGTTATAACTGTTTAGATCTGCTTCATTAGTGTTATGGTTATAAGGGAGGGGGTGAGAGCGGAGCATATTATTATTATGGAGTTTGGATAAAATACATGTGTAGTATTATTTTTAATTAAATTAAAAATGATGAAATACTTAAAAGAAAGAGAATTGAAGTTTTTTGTTTTTAAAAAAGAGAGAGACAAAGAATGTCAACCATGAGTAAATAAAAACAATTATTTTATAGACTAATTTATGAGTATTATTTATTTATTTAACAGTTAAAGAAAGGAAGTATAAATACATCTGGTACATACGAGTCCAATAAAAGTATGAATATGACCAGTAGTATCAGTATACCCGTTTACTCTACAGAATATGAAAATGAGGTAAAAATTTAGTAATATGTACATCAGTGCTGTTTATCCAAAAGGTTATGGCATCTTACCTAGAATGTGCTGGGTCCGATACCCATTGTGGGCCGAGAAAAACCATAAGGATGGAAAACAAAGGTCAACTGTGTACAGTCGGAATTTAAGGAGTGTAAGCAGAATCACTGCTGCCCGGGTAAAAATGTTGCCCTCTGTATTAACATGTAACATTTGAAATGATAATTATCATATATTAGTTTCAAAATGACTGAAGTATTGTGTTGATTACACGTTAAACCTCATTCCATTCTAAAAGGTTAAACCAAATTAACCAAGTTTGCCATTACAACTTGATTGTCATGACCTTAACATATTCAAACCAATTAATTTATCATAACTTTGCTTCAAATCCTTCTCAAAACATTGCAAAACATTGTCGATTAGGGAAACCCTTACATTTTTGTCCTGTATGCACTCCATGAGTGTTTTTCAGGGAATCCAGTATTTTTCTAGTAAGATTGGATATTTCTACTTTCCATATATACCGAAATTGTCATACTTTTATTGGAAATAACCACCTGATAAATACTTTTCTTGGATCGTATGTTTAAGACGATGTAAGAAATAATGTATAAGAAGAAATCTATAATACATGATAGGTTAAAATTATTTTAATCATTTTACTATGGTAATTATATTAATATTATTTTAGGATGATGAACCTAGAGTGAGTGTAAATGTTATGGATATGTCTGCATTAGGTTATCATGATGTAAGTAATAATAAATATTACACTCTTCTCCATTACGTGTATATCAAAATAGATTTTATAAAACTCCACTTCTCAATACGAGAGTGTAAGTTGTAACATTAACTTGGAACTGATGACCAGAGCTAATGTTTCAACTTTAATCTTTGTCTCAATAACATTGCTATTTAGATAGACTGTGAAAACTGTTAATTCAAATACGATATTTCTTTCTAATGTTGTCATTTCTATAGGTCAAAGTGTTATACATACCGTATATCTGTTATTTCTTTTCTTTGTAGGAGATGGATGGTGTAAAGGAACCAGCTCGGATCAGAATCGAATCAGATACTGATAGTGAAGATTATGGAAAAGATGTGGTAAGTTTTATATAAACCATCAGCTATTAATGAATATACTTACATGTCACACCAGTCTATAATAATAGACTTTTCCAGAAAGATAACTGTACTTTGTATCACCAATTCCGATTTATTATGGTTATCTTTATTACAAGATAAATAAGACAACATTATGCTATATATACTATTCAAAAAAAGTAGGGGATATTTGATTTTTAAGTGTTATTTAAGTCACCTAATGAAACTGACGAAGAAACAAATGACAAAATGAAATGAAGTTCACATTCATCGATTTATTCCAAATGATCGTTAGACTAAGTAAGGCACAGACTGACCATTATAAGGGTAAAATGATACCCAAGGTCAAACAGCAAAGTTACCACAGCATCACAACCAAGTCAGTAACGGGTAAATCCTCCTCTGTTTGCCAAACAAGCATTGATCCGACGTGGCATACTCCTAATGAGACGTCTAAGGTCATTTTGGTCCAGATTGTCCCATTCCTGTTGCAACGCAGCAGCAAGTTCTTGGACATTGGCAGGACGTTGTTGACGTTGACGTAACCTCTGTCCAAGCATGTCCCAGACATGCTCGATGGGGGAGAGGTCGGGACTCAGTGCTGGCCAAGGTAATGTGGTGATGTTCTGTTGTTGGAGGTAACCTGTAACGATCCTGGCCCTGTGACATCTTGCGTTGTCATCCTGGAAGATGAAACGGCGGCCATGACGTCGTGCGAACGGCACAACATGGACTGCCAAGATGTTGTCCCGGTAGTACTGGCCTGTAACACGCCCTGCAACAACATGTAAAGCCGTTCTTCCAGCAACAGTGATGCCTCCCCACACCATAACAGAACCACCCCCAAATCGATCATGTCTGATGACGTTAACGTCTTGGAAGCGCTCGTTTCGACGACGCCACACCCTCCTACGTCTGTCCAAAAAATCAACAGTGAACCTTGACTCATCTGAAAACATCACATTGCTCCAGCGTCGATTATCCCAGTGTTGACGATCCCTACACCAACGACGTCTTGCCTGAATGTGATGATCTCTCAAACAAGGGATCACGCGAGGACGTCGGGCGCGAAGGTGACCCCTATGCAGTCGATTCCGAATCGTCTGGCCACTCACTCTCACACCAGTGTCTGTTTGAAGACGAGCGCTGATCTGATTTGCTGTGATGACACGATTTCTCAAGGCCAAGGTACGGATAAATCGATCCTGGGCTTGAGTTGTCGCCCTTGGTCGACCTGAGCGTGGTCTGTCCTGTACAGATTGTGTATCACGGTATCTGGACCATAGCCTGCTTATGACAGACTGAGAAACATTCATCGTCCGAGCCACAACCGCCTGTGTTGTGCCGATCTGTAGCATGCCAAGTGCACGTAACCTTTCATTTTGGGTAAGGCGACGCATATCAAAATTTGTTTTCTGGTCATTAAAACAATTAAACTGATGTTTCCACCCTGGAATTCAATGCCACAATGACTGTAACATTCAAAGTCAGAGTCGTGCAAATCTTGGGTTGGACCCCCATGATGATCCCAAGCATCACCTGCATTCCATGCGGTAGCTATTGGTGCGTTTGGGCGTCACATGTAACTGGAAATGTTTCTTCTGTTAGGTTCTATAGTGACTTTTTTCGTAGTCATTTGCATATTTTAGTATTATGCCCCCAAAATCAAATATCCCCTACTTTTTTTGAATAGTATATTTGTGTCATTACTTACAGTGATTACCCTTTAATGGTCTTAATTTCAAATTATTATGATTTTGACATATATTGCAGAATATTGCTAACTTGGGAATAAAATACCATTTGCAACAACATTACGCCAGATTTTCCGTAAAATTTTCTCATTCTTAATCCCGTCCCAATAATGGCCCACTATTGATAGAATATTTTATAATACATTAAATGGGGAATTGCAAGAAATAAATACATTATTGATGATTAACATTTATATGGTTTTCCATCACAGTTGAGTAAATATTAGTTGATAGATGTATTGTCTATGAACACGTGGTTGCCATGCAACTTACACCGATTTTTCACAAAAGATAGAACTCATCCTCTCATTGTCCTAATGCTTCACATCAAATATGAAAAAAATATGTTAGAAAACTATACACTGTAAAACTGGTATCATTTATAATGGGGGTTATAGCGCTAAAAACTAGGTATATAGTTTAATTTCAAAACATCGTTCGATAATTGATAATAATCGTTTGAAAATTACAAAAATAGTTTAAAGGTCACTGGAAAAGCATCATTTTTTTTTTAAATAATGCAAGTAATTATGTTAACATATCCTTTCCATAAGTATAGCCCGAACCTGAACGTCAATATTACCTGCAACAGGTAAATTTCAACATTAGTAATTTCCTCCGTTCTCCGTGGGTAGTCGGAACTTTTCGTCAATAAGCAATCTGTGACGTCATTTTAGTCCTTCTGCACATAGAAATATAGACTAGAATATGAGCAGAAGGACTAAAATGACGTCACATTTACGGAAAGTTACGACTACCTACGGAGAATGGCGGAAATTACTAATGTTGAAATTTACCTGTTGCAGGTAATATTGACATTCGGGTTCGTGTTATACATATGGAAAGGATATGTTGACATAATTACTTGCATTATTTAAAAAAATTTATCAACCTTTTCCGGTGACCTTTAATTAGTACTATGGCTTAATTTAATGGTACAGCGTTTAATTTCTCCGAGAGGGGTTTAGAAATGCCCGACCGTTCACTTATCTAGTGCGTTTATTTATTAGACGAGTAAGTTCAATTTCCCGAGATGCGTATAGAAATAAGAACTGTTTAATTTATCTACTATGTTGAATTATTAGATGAATCGTTTATTTTCCCGTGAGCCGTCTATCCGATCGGTTCATTTTAATTACGATTATTTGCATATGAAGTGCGAATAATAATGGTGAATATTAAAAAAAGGCACCTTACCGTGCTCCTGTATTATTATCCATTATCATTATCCATTCAAAATAGTAATTCCGCCATTGACAAATATATCAAAAAATCGGTAAATCACGTCCCAGGTAATTATACATTTGGAAATCAGTAAATCTCATCCCAGGTAATGTATCTTCTTTAAAACACAAATGAATTAATTAAGTTTTCCACCTGTACACGTTTACAGAAGTCAACCTCGCGATGTACAAATGCGCAACGATAATCCCGCGAGACGAAGGAAAATATTTATTAACTTGAAACACGTGGCTATTAAAAGGCTCCACCAAACGATAAACCATTAGTTGCACTTACGGTTCTTTGATAATCATCGTTTCTCGTATAGTAATATATTTGTTAAAAAAGAATAACATGCCTATAAATTTATTTGAAAATGACCTACACAAAATCATAAGTAAATATTTACACGACATGCACTCTTTTTATAAGACTCTAGAAATTGTTAACGATAACCTGTAAGCTGCACGTTGATGCATACCTCGACAAGCTTCTCGTAGATGGCAGTACCAATCGATAAATTAGTGTGTACAAAGCAAGTATTTTTTTTGTGGAAAATATTAGAAATAGCAACGATCAAAGCTGATTAACCGATAATCCGCATCTTATTGGATTATGTGCAAATAAACCTTACGGTTCTTTTGTGAATCAGGAAACCCGTGAGGTGTCAATCATTGAGAATGGTGGCCGTGTGTTGATTGCAATTATTCCGTTTTACAAAATAACATTAGCAGTCATCGGTCAATCAAGCTCGTTTACTATTTGATAAAAGAAAAACAACGAAGTATTACTAAATATACACAAATTTTCAAATGTTCCAGCCGGGTATACCGGATATACCAATGCTCGCAAATGAAACAAAATAAGTGAACTAGCAAGTGTTAATCGCAGTCTCAACAATCGCCGATCAATTAAATAAAACAAAAAACTATCAGTCTCACATAAAACGAAAAACACAAACAGTTGTTACTATATATCACATATATGTGGGTATCAATAAACCTGACCCTAATAATAGATATCGGTGGACTGATGAACCCTAACCCTATCCTAACCCTAACCCAGCCCTAGCCCTAATAATAAATATCGGTGGACTAATGAACCCTAACCCAACTCTAATAATAGACTATAGAGTTTTATCGTAAATAAAATTAATAGAATCCTCTGTAACCTACTGGTAATACGTGATGTAAATTGAAGGAGGTGTGTGTGTGTGTGTGGGGGGGTAGGTGCTATTCATTGTAGCCCGTTCGTAATTTAGCCATGACAACGGCACCTATTTTGTGTGAAAATCCAGATTGGTCGCGTCCCAATTGTAATTGTTCTTTAATAATGAGGTCAACTGATTATTTACTGACAATTCAGAATAAAAGTATTGTCTACAAGACTACGACAGGGTAACAATTTGTTGTTTTAGGGGCTTCTATTATAGTCAATTATCAATTCCTTTTGATGGCACGTGTGAATTCACGTAATATGGAAACTTGATTGACAGTATGCATTGACTCAGACTCTTTGGTGCCGAAATGAAAAGGTCATCACAGTATTATCTGACTGATACGTGTTAATGTACATGTGTTCAGCAAGGTTGACGGTGACTTCTGGCAATGTGTGCTTAAAAACAGGAGATGAGCATTTAATTCATTTGTGATTTAAATCCCAAGATATATTACTTCAGGTGTTATTTACCGATTTACAATGCATTGTGTAACTTATTTGTCAGAATGGGAATAGCTATTTTAAAGGACAAAACTTTCCCCCACGGTAAGACCAGCATCTAATCTTTGAAATTTTCGTAATTTGAATGGGTTTGAAAGTCTTAGAAATGTCGAACATATTGACTAAGTGATGTATCGGTACAGCCATAACTCTGTTTATTTTATTATTTAAAAGCCTACCAATGTTTGATAATTGATATTTTTCAATATAAGTCAGTAAAATCTGCGTGTCTAACCGTGTTAAATTAACAATCTTTTTTGGCATGCCGTGTTAGCTGATATTCGACTACGATATGACTGCGGTGCA